AGTCTTTAGAGTAATGGAATACTCTCTATGAGATACTCATCATGTCTCATCAGTCATTGACATTATGTCAATGGTCTCAGTATAAGGCACGGATCAGTGCCGCAACTATATAGTAAGGGGCCCGTGTGCGATATTTTTTTTGGGCCCCTTCCTAAATTAATTTTTATTGTAAGTATTACAATCTATAAGTGCCAACATTTTTAGGTTTTATGTATACTAACATGTATATATTTTTTTTGGTTCCTACATTTTATTCAATCTGTTTGAAAGAGAACAATAAGAATTATTAATGGTATAGAATAAGCTAAAATAAATAACTGATTGTTTAAATAAATATCTTATTGCTCTTATTATAGTAAGTATAAAAATTAACAGCCTTGCCTAAATTTTTAAATGACTTTTTATTATAAGGTTTTAATAAACCCAAAATTTAAAACTACACAATTTTTTTTAAACAAAATATTCAATTTTAAATGTAAAAAATTCATTTTTCTGGCTTTTGTGTTTGCAAAAATATTTATTATTATATTGTCTACATCTATTTCAGAAGTTTGCAGCCTTTCAATATTAAGTAAAGCCAAGCTTGATAATCTATCTTGTGAAATGGTACTACGTAGGTAGTTCTTTATGCGTTTTAGTTTTGAAAAAGACCTTTCAGCAGAAGCAGAAGTGACTGGCATAGTTATGAATATCATTGTAGCCGTAAATACATCAGGAAAAATAGTTGATAGATTTTCTTTTAATATAAATAATGATAGATCTTTTATTGTCATCTTTTTAATGTCACTGTTATTAGTGGTATTATCCTTTGAAAGAAAAAAATCTTGAAGACTGACTATTTGACGCGTGAAGTCACTACTAATATCGTCACGGTACTTTTCAATAAAATCATAAGTTGACTTAATTAAAAGTTAATTTATTTACTTAACCTTAAACAATTAAACACTAAACAATTAACTGATAAATGATGATACTCCGAGCAGTCGTTAGTTACTACTTTACTAGTACCTAAGTCAATATTAAGCTCAGTGCTAAGAACATAATAATTAAAAAGTAGGTATCGTCAATATTCATCATTAAAATTACAAAATATATTTTATATTTATACCAAAACCAGCAACTCAAACAGTCGTGGTCGTCGTATCAGTCGTATCATATTGACATTTTAATAGTTTATAAATAAACACTAATAACATTACTTATATTATGGCGCGTCGTCACTCGTCAACCGTCGTCGTTTTCGACTATCAGCCAGTGCCCAGTTGTTCTTCCGACAATTCGACAAACAACGACCCATAGAGGCATAGTCGCATAGACGCGATAAAAATAGATGTTATGGAAAAATTGATAGTACCATTGATCATATAATATACAAAAACGTCAAAAACCTACCATCCTATTTTAACATAGGTACCTACTTATCAAATATTAGTATACATACAACTACATTAATGTTTAAACTTAAAAAAAAAATTATTGTGAGTAATTAATTTTGCGTTTTTAGACAATTTATGTGTTTGCTCCAGGTTGGGCCCGGCCCCGGGGCCCCCCAAATGTATGTAAACCTTGGGGCCCGTGTGCGCGGCACGCTCTGCACACCCGGTTTTTGCGGCACTGGCACGGATATCAGCTATATCCGTGGTATAAGCACAGAACAATATAGAATAGACACTCGATCAGCTGTGAGGGTTTACGTATCCCCACGAATTAAAATATACTGGATACCCAACGACCTATATGAACAACTATTTTTCTTAGACCCAAACTGACTTGTATATTTTAATTCGTGCGTATCCCTACGGTATGATGTATTGGACTATAAAAGTTGTACCGTATCCGTAATCTGATAGAACGTTAGCAACGTGTATCCCTCTTTGTTACGGAATTTTTATAAACGATTAAAAACGATAAATAATTTATTTTTCATATTTTAAGTATATCAATATTAAATTTTGGTTAAATGAATAAGGATTTTGTTTTAAGGGGATTCGATACCGTGATTTTCTGTTTTTGTCTAACACACGCGCGACATAGTATTTTAGATGTGTTTTTTGCCAAACATACCAATTGATCTAATGAAGCGATACGAATTCTGAAAACAGATTTGAATTTGTCGTCAAGTCTACTTGAAATCGACTTTCCCACATTTTTGATATTATCCCCTAAATTTTTTTAAATGTCATATTCAAAAAGAGTATTTAAAAATTCTGTTATTTCAATTTTTGGAGAAGTTTAAATCAAAAAATCAAAAATGTGGGAAAGTCGATTTCAAGTAGACTTGACGACAAATTAAAATCTGTTTTCAGAAATCTTATCGCTTCAATAGATCAATTGGAATGTTTGGCAAAAAACACGTCTAAAATACTATGTCACGCGTGTGTTAGACAAAAACAGAAAATCACGGTATCGAATCCCCTTAATATAAATTAAAAACTATAATGTAATTTTACATTGGTTTATTGTTAATATATTGTATTATTATTCTGTGGACTGATAATATTGATATGATTTATTTAAATGATAACATATGCCACGCCCCCTTAGAGACCGTGCTCAACACGAATTAAAATATAAATATTTTAATTCGTGGTACGAACGTACATTTACCGCTATATTACAAGTACCACGATATTATTTTAGTACGAAACAACAAACGTCAAAAAGTACCACGATTATAAAGAATAACCGTGAACTGTACAAAATTGAACAATTATTGTCAATTAGGTAATAGGTATGTCCTACGAAATACAATATCCCTTTTTTTAAATAGAGTTAATATTTTAACATGTAAATTTAATAACAATATTAACAGTAAATAGTCATTATGAAATATACCTATATTATGGCTCACTTATTTTATGGTTAAATGCATTCAATTCTCACTTGAAACAGTTTCTTAAATAGCTACCATACGGCATACACCATCAATTTAATTTTATCAATAAATTAAGTTGGTAAAGTTAACTTGGTCTCGTTTCACTAATTTTACTGTATAGGTAGTAGGTATGTACAACGGTAAAAAATACAAATATACAATACTGTTAGACTAGTCTTTTACTCTATTCGGTTTATTCCATAATTTCCAATAATTAGACAATAACACATGACTAATAAGTAATTACTAATAGGCACGCCTTATAGAATTCTACCTATTTTTTTTTTTAAAGTCTAATATTGCAGTATTGCACAGATATCAGACTTGTTAATTTAATTGTAATTTTAATTGTAACTTGTAAGTACCTACTGAATACTAATACTAATACTAATACTCTATTGACTACTGAAATACTGAATAACCTACTGAATACTAATGTCAAATACTAATACTCTATTGACTATTTTATTATAGTCTATTAAATATCTATATGATTATATTGAAATGTATTTTTTTAAGTTGCCTACTTAGTAGGCTTAGACCAGGAGCTTCATAAGTCCTAACGTATTTCATTAATCAATATGTAGACTTGCCAGATTATAAATATTCCAAATTTGTACATCAAGCAATATGACTTATGAATAGGCAGGTATGTATCTAAGTATGTTAATTTTTTTTATATTAGTATGCAACTCCAAATTAGTAACAAGAATATTTGTATAATTTATAATGTTAACAAATAAATATTTGGATGACATCATCAACGGTGTCATCACAAACTTCACAGTTGTCTGGACGAAGGAAAGCACAATCTTCACATCTCCAACCATGGCCACAACTTTGGTACACATACCGTATGCCATTGGGTACATCTCTAAAGGCCCTCAAACAACAAAGGCAGTTGCTGCCTGTTGGGTCCAATAAACTGTTCAAATTATTCATCCATTGGCCTATAATCAAAGAGTGTTAGTTAGTAAGTAATTGAATATTTAAAACCTCCAATCTAAATTATCATTAAATGTTTATTATATAATTTTATGTTAAATCTATTTCCTCATATAAATGTGCAAAATAGAGTAACACATACCTAATATAGTTAACATAATACTTAGTCATTGAAAAAAATGTAGGTATACGCCTATTGTATTATCAACTTTTATGTTTCTCTATTATGCATATTTACCTATATGTGAACATTGTTAAAAATAGTAAATTCTGGCTATCATGTCAATAAAATAATTATCTTATTTGCTTATTGTGTCTCAAAAAGCATCGATTGTAAATACTATTTTAATATTTAATATTAAATTTAAAAATGTAGTTGGCATTACCATTTCCTATCATTATGTATATACTGATGGTGTCGTCTATTGGTGTCTTGCAAATTCCACAGTTGGTTTGTTGTTGACCACAATTATCACAACACCATCCATGGCCGCATGGCAAAAGAATGTTAACCGATCCAATGTCTTCATTCCTACCACTGTAATGGCTACCACTGTATTCCTCCACACAAAGCAACGGTCGTATTCTTCACCTGATAAAAATAAACAGAATACAATTATGTTTGATTCTGATTTATGTAAAAAAATAGTAATTTATAAATTATAAATATTGGTACCTGGCATTTGTGGTATTGCCACCACCAAAATGTCAGCATTTTCACTCTCTATAATATTATGTTAATAGAAAATTATAAATTAAGTATTACAAAATTAAAAAAAAAAAAAATTTATTAAAACCAACTGTTTTTAAATGTTTAAATTTATAAATTGAAAATATAATAAACCAATTTAAGCAGTACATTTTGTAATTATTATTGGCTATTTACCTTGTTGAAGCTGTACATTCGTTAACAAAAAAAATTAATTATGGGTAGGTAATAAATAATAATAATTATTTTATGTAAACATACCTTCTCTGACTATATTTTCACTTGTCTCCACAACAATATTTTCTTCTATACCTATTAAGTGATAAGCGTACATAAAATATGTATATATTATATTTGTATACTATTTTTTTCATTTTTTAGACATTAATGTACTACCTTCAATTTCCTCCGCTGGTTGAAATCTTACTAAATTATGATGCATACAAATTAAAAATAATATTTTTTAAAAAACTATTCTTATTATTCTTACTTACAATTTATTTGTTGATTATTAGGTCTCCCGATCCGATTAGCCTGACGTCCTCTACACCTCCGTCCTCTAATATTAGGTATAGCAGCTATACCTCTGGGTTGTAATCCCATATCCCTTACTACACCTCTTGGCCTTCTGACTTGATTACCTATGCGTCCCGGTAAAGGTGGTGGTGGTTGAAGAGGCATCATTACCAATTGTCCCATGTTTTGGTCTAATTGGTTGTCTAATTTTAAATATTTAGATTATTATAATTGTAAAGAATGAAAAACAATATATTTACCCATTGGTATGGGGCCTATTTGCTCATCGCAGTATCCTCTTGCTGAGTAAGCAACCCGCCTGAGAAATGCTGAGACGTCAAATCGTCCATTCCTAACATTTTGGTATGCTCCTTCCAATAACTTGTTGTTTGTGTCCCTGCTGGTTAAAACTGACCTTCGGACCTGAAACAAAATTAGTAATTTAGTTATTATTATAATAAGTTATAACCGGTTAAGTTCCTTGGTTTTGAAATTAGTTTAGTTTAAAGTAAGTTAATTAAAATGTGCAAGTTATAATATGGTTATCTTTAATTGAAAATATAATTTTATTTTTATTTTACTAAAATTCTTTGTTTACCAGTATTTTTACTTGTTTTATATGTACAATCTTTATCTATATTTTAAAAGTGTTTTTAACTTAACAGTTAAGATTTGTCTTAACAAATGTTAAATTTAATGATATTTTATATTTATTCACATTTGTTTTCAATAGTTAATATTTTGTTAGGTAAATCGTATATAATAAAATATATTATTTTTTTTAATCCCAGATCCCTGATTATCTCATACAGATAATGTACATTATGAAAACAAAATTAGAAAAATATCAACCTCAGTCCTAGTTATTATATTTTTAATGGAATAGAATGACTTAAATTAATATTATACTTTTCTATATTCAAATATTTTTATTATTAGGTAAAACACGCAGTTTACCATACAAAATAGTGCATATTTTCTATGTTTTGTCATGGATGTATGTCATATATTTACCTGGTGACCATTTATAAGTTGTTGTGTCTCCCTCCTTACTCTTCGTTCCACAGAACGTAAGCGATCTGTAAGTATAATTTATCATATGATTTAAATTTATTAATTTAGTTGGGAATTAATTAATTTTTTATATGTTTTAACTTACCATAGAAAGTCCACAACGGTGGATGTTGACCAATTGTAGTCTGTATCATGCTGTGGAAGCTCTCCAAATAATTATTAGTTCTAATACTATACCCAAAAACTGAAAACCCAACCGGTCCAATTGTGTCCAGCCAATAATTTTGAACGTATCGAAAAAGATCCATAATATGATGGTCGACACTCATACTTCTAGCCAATATTTGAATTTCTAAAAATCCCCCTCGAGTATTGAAGTTGGGTGGTAATTCTTCGCGTCTCTCGGCTGGCAAATGTGGTAGTGCCATCAGCTATAATTGTCAATAAAATATATTCTTTTCTCAATTGCATAATAATAAATTATTAATTATTAAATTAAATTATCTTTACCATTCTGACGATAGTGGCAATATATTGGTTGTTGCGTACTAGTTGCATTAAATTGTGGATATATTTAAATAATTGATTAAAATGAATATAGCGCACTATACACTGAAAATAAAATAATATCTTGTAATTTAAAATTGTATTTACATTATTCAAACTATTATTTTTGTGCAATATTTGTTACGATTAGCATAATAATTAAACTTATAGAAAATAAATAAATTAATAATTCTAAACAGTAGTATTACATAATTAGCGTTACTATCAAATTAGTGGTGATTTAGTTTTAATTTATTATAGTTCATTGTTTACCAAATTCGGAAATGATCAAAATATTATGTTATGAATATAAATATAAAGAACCTGATTAAAATGGAACCAGCACCCCACCAACTGACATTCTGGTACAACCCTTCTGATTGCATTCCTTAATGCAGTTTCATAATCTGTGATTACTTGCAGATTATTCCAATTCAGAAAACTGAAAGGAAGATCATTCTTTAGGAATTGCCATAGTCTTGCATATATGTTCTCTGTCCTTTGATTCAGTATAGCATAGACTACAGGGATGGACTGAAACAAAAATGTTTTTAATATAAGTATTAAAAATAGAAATCATATTTTGCTTCTATTTTGAATGTAAGTTGTAATTTAATTTTAATATTAGCTTTATGATACTAAAAAAAAAAAATGATTTTTAAAGATATTTATAAATAAAGAATTATGAACTGGAAGGAATATTATTATAAGATTTAAGACTCACAATATTGTCTAGCAGAACGTGTATGGTCACTAATTGATCCATGTCGCTAGGACTTCTTGGTAGTACTCCAAACTACCATCAACAGCTACAACCTTAGACTGTCTCATGAATGGTGCATAATTTTGCAGAAATTGCAGATTTGCAAAAACCAATCCTCCAAAGATTGATTCTGTACCTATCAGGTACTCTAATGAGCCTTGGAAAAAAGCATTGTTGTTATTGTCATCTAGTAATGACATCAGTCGTCCACGCCATTCCTGTGAAGCAATTGTTTCACCCATGGCTGCCAAAGAAGCTGGTACAGGTGGATTGAATCTCTGCCGGATATTCCGCATCATTCTCAAAGCAACATCTACAGACATTTCTGTTGCTGCATTTGGAAATCTGTGCATTCAATTATAAAATTAGGTATGGGCGATGACAACGCAAAGTGTCATATTTAATTAATTATGAAAAAAAAACTCATTTAAATGGAGGGGCCAAGCAAGATATTTGATAAAAATAATTTGTAAATTTCTAGTTTAATTGTGTTTGTTATTTTATAGCAAATAAATAAGCTTTGTAGCACTGTACAATTGTAACATTGTAGACTTTAGTCATGTGGGTTACTGTAATGGATGTGTTGAATTTGAATTCAGTCGGCAGTCCTATAGGTTAAAAATTATTAAATTGCCCATAATAACAAATAATTAAAGAGTTAGATCCCTTCCCATTTAAAGAAGTAATTTTTTTTTTATAACGGAATATTTTGGACACTGCTGGTTAGTGGTTGCTTCCCCCTTGGGCAATTAGTGTATAAAGTAAAATATCAATAAACATCTATTAGCATTTTTAAGTCAATTATTTTTTATTAAATTGTAATTATTATTTTACCTTCTAGATTCCTCTTCATATATTATCCTTGGTGGAGTACTCTCAGCAGCCGCTCTACTTCTTAGAGTAGCCAAAAAATTCCCAATCTCCACATCATGTCCTGGCCTGTGGTTGTGCACACTATACATGATAATGGGAGCATTTTCCGGTTCCAGAGCCATTGACGCTGTTGCATGACATCCTCGTTCGTATCTCGTACACCTTAGCTGTCTGAAATATGTAATAAAATATGTTTTTAAAATACTTGAAAATAATTTTTAAAATTGTCTATAAGCTTTTCACCTTCTATTGGTTGAGGTATGATTTTGGACATATGTGTAGCCGTGTCCGTCCAAATATACTAACCTCCCTCTCACACCTGGTACTCTTCTTGAAGGGATGTTGTTACTATCGCCTAAGATATCTAAAATATTACCACCTAAAGGCGATCTTGAACGTGAACGTCTTTGTTCATCATCTAATAGTTTAAACATTTTGTTAGAATTTGTAAAAAATATATTGGCCCAGGTATTTTATATACCTAAGAGATTTAATCAACATTGTATCAAAAAAACAAACTTTCAAGTCCAGTGGTAGCTATCAAACAAAATAAAGGTGTATCAAATTTTGAATTTAACTACCCACCCGCCAACCCTGATACACAATTTAGTAACCAATAGTTTATATTTTTATGCTACACACCTACAAATACAAGAAAAAAAAGCTGATAAGTGAGTGTCACTCTGCTGTATAGTAGCTAGTTACAAGTGGGTCACTGTAATCGTAATGGATGGTGTTAAATTGAATTAAATGATATAAAATCATTGTATACAAAAAACGATTCTGAGCTATGACAATTAGTCAGCCTATGTGATATATTACTAAGTAGGTAGGTATGTTTTATGATAATACAATATATTATAGTGAATAAACTCAATAAAGTAATTTGTTTTACTATTAGGCATTAGTACAACGGTAGGTTGAATTAATTTTACAAAAAAATTGCATTTGAAAATATTATTGTGTGTATAAAATATAATAATATATCTACTCTAAAAGTGTCATCTACTCACGAATAAGTAATAGCAATGTTTAAATTACAACAAAATAACTAAAGTCGTTATGACGTTATTGTTGGTTTTAAAATATAATTTCTTCCAAACTTAAAATGTTGTAAAAAATAACTAAGTTTTTATTTTTATATTTTTTGGTCATAGTTTGAACTATTTATGAGAATCCTTGTTTTAAATTTTCAATGATTATAGCTATACAATTTTAAAATTTTTCAACTAAGTACAATAAATTTTAAAATTTTCAAAATTTTGATAAATGTCAAAATTTGAACTTGAAATACTTATAAAACAAGTCGTGTTTATGGATCTTTAATATTTATCAACTGCTATTTTAACAACTTATAAGGAACCTTCTGTTAAATTTTCAAGCTTTTTTACTCAACGAATGCATTTTTATTAAATTTAATATAATATGGTAAAAAATTGAATATTTTGAATGTCTATAAATACCTTAATACGGGTTAACCTATTTTTGAAAGGTTATAATGGAAAGAAAATGATAAAATAATCATTCAATGAAAATGTAAAGTACCTACTAGTTTTTGAATAACAACAAAATAAGAAAATAGTATAAGAATTTGTTAAATTACTAGGTTGAATATTCAATGT